TCAAACACATGCAGAGGAGAGGCTGATGTGCAGTGAACACCCAGCTCTTCATTCCTAGGTGCAGCGATTCCATTTCTTCCTTTCCTGTTGGGTGCCCTTTTTTTCTCCATGTTGCCTCATTTTTTGAAGGAACTACCAGTAACATGTTGATCTTAAGTGGTGAGAGTGATGATCCTTGTGTTTGAGATCTCAGGGAGCAGATTTCAATTTTTCACTGTTAAATACATTGTTAGGTATGGGATTGTCCTGCATTCTTTTTTTTACAAGTACATTTATTCTCTAATTAATTTAGTGATAAATGTCATTTAAAGTGGAAAAAGTCTGAATTAAACTGTGCAGGTTTTCGGTATCTATAAAACAATTTGGGCATATTTCACCATCCTTGTATCTCAGAGAAAAATGCCGTTGGGTCGTGTGGATGGTCCTTTGGATGTCCTGTTCAAGTTTTCTCTGCCAGTATTCACTGAACACTTCGTTTAAGTTCATCGAGGATGTGGTTGTATAATTTTCTTTCTTTTCTTCTAATGCATCTTTGTGTTTGATGTCAGCATCATGCTGGCTTCATCAAAAGTGTTTGTGAGTGTTTGCTGTCTTTGCTTTCTGGAAGAGTTTGAAAAGGACTGGTTCTTTGTTTTCTGTTTTTCCCTCCTTTGCACTTCTTGAAATGCTTGGTAGAAATGAGCTGTGAAGCCATCATGTCCTGGGATGATTAAATGGGCCATGTTTACTAGTGATTCAATCTCCTCATTATTGGAGTTGATATTTTTGATTTCTTCATGATTCAGTCCTGACAGTTTGACTGTTTCTAGTAATGTATCCATTTTTTATAGTATACAAGTAAAATAGAATTATTTGTATATATTATAGTTTCATAGTTGTTTGTATTTTTGAGGTATCTGGAGGAATGTCTCTCATTTCTCTTCTGATTTGTTTTATTTCAGTTTTCTTTCTCTTTTTTTTTTTTAGTTTAGTTTTAGGCTTGGTAAGTTTCTGTACTTTTGAGAAATTTATTTCCTACATTTGATGTTTTAAAGTTGTTTCCATAGGCTTTATTTCATTTCCCTTTACTCTTTATTTTAAAGTGCTGTTAATTCCAAGATTAGTTTATTCATATCTACTACTTTTTTTTTTCCAGTGATTGGGGATTATACTTAGCACTTTTGACCTGAGGTGCAATTCCATCCTTTTGTTTTCGGAGAGGGTCTTAGGAAGTTACCCAACTGGGCTGCAGCTTGTGATCCTTCTGCCTCAGGCTCCCAGAATGCTCTGATTAGAACTTTTCAACCAAGTCCAGCTCTATTCTCTTTTTGATAGTGTCTGTGTAGTTTAATTTTTTATGAAGATAATTGCTCTTTTAGTGTAGGTGTTTATAGCTGGAAAATGACCACTCAGAACTGTTACATCCCTTCTGTTTTGTTATGTTGCGGTTCTGATTTAATTTGTTTTCAGGTCTTCCTTCATAGTCCCTTTCCCTTTTTCCTGGAGCCATAGGGTGGTCTGAAATCATGTATTTATGACTGTGTGAATTACTTGAAACTCATCTCATAATTTTTCTAGTTTTCTAGTTCTTTTTGAGAAAACAGATTAGATGCAATGTGCAGCATTGCATTTCCTTGGTGCCTCAGTCAGTGATCCTTACTGGACAATGTTCCCTGAGACATCAAAAGAGATGTCTATGCTCTTGCTTTTGAGTACACTGTGTCCTGTGTCTGTAATGTCCATCTGCTTCAGTGTGGAGCTCATGTCCAAGGTTTCCATATCATCTGTTGGCAGGATGAACCACTGCTGAAATGAGGTACAGAGTCCTCCACGGTTCCTGTGGTGCAGTGCATTTCTGCCTTTCCCGCTTAGCCACGGGCTTTTCATATTTCGGTGCTCCGTATTAGGTGCACCTCTAGTTTAACTTCAAAACAGGCTGATTAGATAAATCAACCCCTTTGTCATTGCGTGTCATTGTCAACCTTCTGTGCTTCACATACAGCCACTCCTGCCTTTGTTCATCTAGCACTGTGCTTTCCCATCCTCTTTGCGTCTCTTTGTGTCCTCAAAGTGAGGTAATGTTTTCCTAGAACCATGTAATTTGGGTCTTTTTCACAATCCAATCTTCGTATGTCTTTTAATTGGTCAAGATAATTTAAACTAATTATCAATGAGTTTCAAAATTTTCAATAATTTCGAGTAATTTCAAGTAATAATAAATTCAAAGTAATTATCACAGATAAGGATATCTGACTTCCAGCTTTCATAGTTTGTTTCTGCTTGTTTTATAGATGCTTCTCACTTTATCTCTGTCTTCCAGTGTGGTTTGATGGTTTTATGAGCACTATTTCTGTATTCTTCCTATTATCGCTTTGTGGTTACCAGGAAAGTCTCCCATTTACTTGCGATATGTTCTTTTGTCCTCAGATCTTTGACATAACACGAAAATGAAGCAATATCCTGATTGTAATATCACTTTAAATCCTAAGAAAATCAAGTTCTTAAATATCAAACTCTCAGGTATAATTAAAGTTTTCTGTTTGTTGCAGTAATGTTTTTCACTTGTAAAGAATTGAATTAGACTTGAGAGTTAGATGTTGACATCCTCGGTGGGTGTGTAAAGCTATTCCCAAAATTAATGACAGAAAACTTCCCAAACAGAGGGGAAGAATTTGACATTCAGATAACTGAGGCATATAGGACCCCAACTAGCCACAATCAAAAAAATCTACACCTAGACATATAATAATCAAGATCCCAGAAACCCAACAGAAGAATAAAATACTACAAGCAGTAAGAGAAAAGATATAAATCACATGCAAAGGAAAGCCCATCAGAATCACAGCAGACTTTTCAACACAAACCCTTGGGGCAAGGAGAGCCTGGAATGAGATATTTCAAGTACTAAAAGAGAACAACCTCCAACCTAGACTGATGTATCCAGCAAAACTCTCTTTCAAAATGGAGGGGGAAATAAGGCACTTCCACGACAAAGAACACCTGAGAAACTACATGAATATCAAACCAGCACTACAAGCAATTCTAAACAAGATCCTATAAAAAGACAATGAAGGCAACAACACTATGAGGCCCAACAGAGCAAATCAAATAGGCAAGGCAAGAAACTAAAAGGAGAAGGTGAAAAAGTAAAAAGAGTCAACAAAAGGCCAATAACATGCCAATAATAAGTCAGTACATATCAGTTAT